CCTGCAGCCCCAAGTGCAGCCCCCACATGCTGGAAAGAGCCCAGCGCAGCCCCAGGCCCAGCGCGCAGCTTCAGCCCCTCCCATGCATATCCAGGGCACATACCTTCCCCCCCTCCACCCCTTGCCCTCCCAGGGTGCGCCCAGTGGCGGGAGGTGCCCCACCGCTCCGCAACCCCCGGACAAGCCTCAGCTCCAACCCGTGCCCTGCCCCTCCCCACCCTGCCCTGGCTGAGCAGCACCTGCTCCAGCCCCTGCCCCACTCCCTTCCTCACTGCAGGGACCTTGATCCGTCCCCCTCCCCATGCCTTTCCCCCCCCGCCACCATCCACCACAACAGACTTACCAGCTGGACACAGCTCTGTTAGAAATCAGGTCGGTATTGGCCAATATGCCTCCTTAAAAATCAGCTATCGGTATCAGCCCCCAAAATCTCTATCAGTGCACCCCTACAGTGAACATCTCATGTAGGTGCTCCCACTAAGTAAGAAAGGAACAATCATTTTGAGGGACAACTCCGCTGGTCACCATCACAGAGTACAAGGGTTACCTGTTACCCTTTAAGTAGGCCCGATCCTTAAGGACCAATCAAAGCCTTTAGTTTTGACTAAAACTATACCTTTTTTAATTTAACACTCCCCTCTTCTCAAGATAAAAATGAATTTAGTGCCAAGTCAGCTGAATGTTACAGCAAAGCAGATTTAAACTGCATCTCAGGAAAAGCCTCCTAACTGTAGACAGCAGGACAATGGAATAAGCTGCCTAAGAATCTCCCTCACTAGAGTTTTTCAAAGTCAGGGTAGTATCTGTATGGGATGGTTTAAGACTACCAAATCCTGCATCTGTGCCAAGTGTTGGATTAGACGACTGACTTGAGGTCCCTTTGAGCCTTATGGTCCCAAGAACATTTACTTTAAATCCTTGCATAACCCTTCTTTAACTTCCAGACCAGATTCCTGACACTGTCATCAAGCATGGTCTTCTTCTTTCCTCCCTGTTCTTCCCTGGGTTTTGTTTGTTTGTTTTCCCTCCAATTTCAAAATTGACTGAAAATGTTAGAAAGTTGATTGCTAGCTGATGCTAGCCAGCCTAAATGAAATCATTCCAGGGTCTGAATACTGTGCCCAAAATTCACCCCCACAACTTGCAGAGATTGGCATAGTTTATGCCAATCTGCGCAGACTGCCTGCTCAGTCTTTCACATATGATAGGTAGTGGTTCTGATATGTTGGATAGGGACCTCTATTCAAAAAGGCACTTAGGCACCTAAAACAACCAGCATGCAGGTAGCCACACTGAAGTACACAGGACTATATGCATGCTAAAGGATCTAATTCAATGCTTGGCATATGCAGGGGGCAGCTTAGGTTTCCTGAATAATAAATAAGAGAATTTGCATCCTCACAATTGTCAAGCTTCTTACCCTCTTCTACAACCAGTATATTTTCACACACATTCTTTGTTATGTTTTTAACACATACAGTTATCTCAAGAAGAAGGAATGCACATGGCCTTATAGTGAGCAGAAGTAAAAATTACCTTGAGCTGAAATAGTATTGGGGTTACACTGATAATATCTGTTGGAAAAGTGGATTAAAACTCTCTCTCTTTCCTGAGTTTCTCCAATTAGTGAAAAGGCCTTAAAGAAACTCCTAAAAAGATAAAGAAAGCTGAAATTAAAAATGTAAATCTCTACTGGCTGCTAAAGCATTTAGATTTTAGCACAATTCAAAGTAAGGGATAAATGACTTCATGCCTGCAACTTGTTTCCAAGAGTCTTCTTACAAAAGAACACCCAACTAGATAATTATTCCATGTGTATTTAATCCCATTTTAATAAAGGGTGAGAGGTAGGTGAGTTACTAATGGTCTCGGAAGAAGGATAAACATGCCAATACAATATTAAATCATGTAAAATATTTTCTTCTCCTCTTTTAAGGGATGCAATGGGGGGAAATGTGGGGGGGGGGGATATTTTAGGGCTAAGGAACACATCAAGGATAAGATACAAGAGCACCACTAAGGGCACTGTCCCCTTCCCCTAGGTCTGTTAGAGGGGCTCATTATTATGGACAAAGTAATTTTTAAGGTCTTTTTTCATTGCTCTCTAGTTCAGTGTTTTTCAGCCTTGTTACACCCACAGCACCTGCAACCCCTCCATAACTTTTTGGAATTTAGAAGCACCCCATTTAAAAACTGATTTATTTCTTATAGTCCGTACCTTCTCGCACCCCATGGCACCCTTAAAAGAATCTCACAGGGTGGCAGGATGGGCAGCAGTAGGCAGGGCACCAATGAGAATATGAAAGGGGTTGGTATCAGTGCTCAGTGCTGGCAGGAGCCACTCAACAGGACAGACTGGAGAGCTTGAGGGTGGGTCATTAGACCCCAGTCCCTATAGAAGGCAGAAGAGTATGACATCAGCCACTGGAGGTGCAGAGGCTGGGGCCAGGTGAAGGCGGCAGGGTCAGGAGCTTGCCATGCCCTGCTTTTGCTGCCACCTGCCCCCTCCCTGTCCCCAGTCTGTCATGCTGGATAGAGGCCTCTATTCAAAACAAACACAATGCTACAGCTGGTCCTCCTTGGACTTGAATGCCAGAGCCTGGAGTCACTTGTCCCTGCAGCACTCCCACGAGCTCTGGGAGCATCAAATGAGTGGAAGAACAAGCTAGGTGGAAAAACACAGCCCCATATCTGCCTGCCCATCCATGGCAGAGCACATCACTCTGAGCACAGGGATGATTGACACAAGACCTATACTTGGCACCACTTGGCACCTTCCTCCACTCCTACCCGGCTCCTAGAGCTGATGGGAGGGGCCCTGGGGAATGGTGTGCTAGGTGCACTGCTTGTCCATGGGATGTACTGGGAGAGGCCCAAGTTGCACAGTGTGGGGAGAAGTGACCACTTTCTACCTCATGCAGGGCCAGACGCCATGGCAGCCTTCACATAGTCTCACAGCATCCCAGTTCAAAATCACTGTTCTAGATGATCAGTTAGGCCCAGACCCTGCCACTGCTCAGACAACGTTAGGTTGCAGCGGGGGCTTAGCCCAAGTCACGGGCAAGCAGTGATGATGGTGAAAACAGTAACAGCTCAGCCAGGCCTACATATAAAATCTTTATGACCAACTTGAAATACAGTGCATCTTGCGCAAAAAAAGCAAGGTGACAGCTGGGACCATACAAAATAGAGCAACCCCAATTGGTTTCATATTCTCTATGCTAAATTATGTCAAATGAAGAAAACTGTTAACAGAGACCCGACACGCTCATCATGTGTGTGTACCTAAGAAAGCCAAAGAAAAAGGCTGAGCCAGTGAAGGCAAGGAAACTATGTACGTACTTCAACTGACCTAGCAACTAAAGAAGACAAAAGACTAAAGATGCATTTCAAGAGAAACTTGTAAACAGTACAGGAAAGATGCCCTATCCATAACAAATGCACCTTGCTCACATTTCTCAAAAGCAGGCATCCAATGTCAAAGGTTTTACAAATGTCTCAATCATTCAATGTATGCCTGGAGGTTTGTAAACAGACCATCACCGGTACAAACTATAGCAAAGGGGCTGCAGAGAAACACAATTTTCACACCTAGACAAATACAAAAACAGGAGCCAGGCAATTTAACAATTGTAATATGATGGTCACCCTTTTCCTCTCTGTTTTGTTTGGACTCTAATCAGCCAACTATCAAGGGAAAATGCTTTGAAGCTACATAATTAAACTGTATAAGAACTAAGCAAATTTGCCAGCAAGGTGCGCGCTCCAGAAGAAACAGAGAGAGATCACTGCAACATCGTGCCCAACTTAACCAGCAACAGATCCTGTTCAGTGAAGGCTGCAAGACTGAACCAGCTTCCTCTGCCTGCATTGGTGAGAAAACACTACTGCAGCTAAATATGTAATAGGACTTTGTGGTGTAGTTCATTTCATTGGGAAGGAGTCTTTTTCTGTCATTTAGTTTTATAGCTTGCTTGTGGTATTGTTATTAAAGCCTTTCTGCTATTGATGAACCAGGTGGAGTGTCAATTCTTGGGGCACTAGGTTTAAAAACCCACTTTCTAAGTGCAACAGTGGTTGGGCCAATGGGCATCAGACATCTTCATCTATGCTGGGCAGTGGGGAAAAGTGGCAGCAGATGGATCTTAGTGCCAGCTTGCCTTGGACCCAAACTGGGCCCACCAGCAGAAAATGTTGCTGACCACAGCACCAAGGAAAAGAAGCAGGAGGCTGTGGCTCCCATGCTTGAGCACAGCAGTTCCAGGAGCAGTCTGACCCTCATGAATTGATCCTCACAACCCTTCCACAAGGGAGGTATATTCTATTCCCACGTTACCAATGGGAAACTGAAGCACAGACTCACCCCCATGGTCACAACTGAAGTTTCATTAAGGGGGCAGGGAAAGCAGGTGAGGGGAAAGGGGACACATATCTTCCAACTTCCAGTTCAGTTTCTTTATTACAAAAGCATCCTTCCCCCAAGAATCATTACTAGCAATGCCAAATCTTAGAACAAAAGCTGGTATATTCCTTAAACCCTGAAATCCTGGCTGCTTGCAGATGTTAAAAAAAAACAAACTCAAAACCATACTTTACTGGAAGAAGCAGCACATTACTTTGACCTGGCTCTGCAGCGTCTGTATAGAACAGGCGCTTCAGCAGGGCTTTTTGGAGTTTTTATCTCAAGCTGAGTCAATCAGTTATTAGATAAAAGCACCAAAAAAACCACTAGAGCACCCAATCTATACAGATATACATTGGGTGAGCTGGGTCCAACTAAAGCACTGCCTCTTCTGGGCGTACACTGGGTTCAATGTAGAACTGTGCCAAGTTTAAAGTGCCAGGTTTTTTGTTGGTTTTTTTTTTAATGTCTGCAACCAGGACTAGAGTCAAGTGATTGTATCAGAATCTCAATGTTCATTAAAAAACTAGGTCTGTAGCCCTCGTAGAAAAAAAAGTATGGAGACACAGACCCTCAAGGCTCAAAACAAGGAGGTAAATCAAATAAATTTCAACATTTACAATTTTTTGCATATCACAGGAGTTTTGGTTCAAGAACACAAGATTTGAGTCCTGACTCATGACTTCTGAGCATGAGGCTATATCAGTACACATGTTTTTACTCATAGTATTACTAAAGGTTAAGTGAACTGACTAACTTGATCAAGGAAGCTGCAATACTACAATATTACTGCACCATCTCCTCTATATATTTGGGTATGGAGATACAGAACAAACTATTCAGAATGAATAAGGAGGGGTGGCTTCCTGGAAGTCAAGTGGATTCATTCTAAATATTTCACGAGTCTGTTCTTTTTTACAGTAAGGGGAAGCTGAATGACAGAAAGTCAGCAGTTGTTTCATTCAGGGGTAAGCTGCCCCGGCTTACTTCCACTTACAGCAGAATAATTGTGAACAGACAAAATAATTTACCACTGATCAACTGGTACAGGGAAAGACCCTTACATTGGTATAATGGTTTCATCTACCCATAACCTGAATGTGCACGTGCACATGCACATATATGCTATGGCAAGTAATTATCTTATTTAGTCAAGTTACACATTTTAATACAACCTATTTCCCAGTTCAAGATAAGTGTGCCATCCAATGGTTTTCTTCTCTTCCCAATTCATAGTGCTGCTCAGGTTTCCTCAACATTTAAATTGTGTGTTTGCAAACAGGTAAGAGACATTCCCTAACCCAGAGAACATCACTGTAACAAACAAGACAGATAAGGCAACTGCAGCACAGTAGTTCAGCTGATGAAGATTGTGCAAAGATCAGGACTGAGCCGGGATCAGGTTTGGGCCTTTCCCATATTCAATGGGAAAGGCCCAAACCCAGGAGAATAGACATCTTCAAATGTGCATACCTGGCATTGTGGCTGGTGGGAAACCCCCTACCCGCTGGTTAGGGTTGCACATCAGGACCCCAATATAAGTGGGGATAGGACCATCACTCACCTCATCCTTGCTCCCCCATTTCCCTTTGCTACAACACATACCCCTGCACACACAAAAAGCACGGTCTGTGACAAACAACCCTTTAAGGGGGTTGCTGTCTAGTAACTGGGAATAAGCCTCTTCACATGCTTGGCTCTGGGCAATCGTAATGCCTCTGGGCACCACATAATGGCCAGTCAGCCTGAACCTACCTAAAGCAACCCTGATGCTGCATTGCCGTGGGCAATGCTTGTATCATGCCATAGCGTATTTTTCTGAAGGTCACTACTATTAATATTAAACAGAGGTTATATAGAGAGAGCAGGCTTCCTAAGTAAGTACTGCAAAGTAATTGCTGATTGGTTTTCACCATTTAGAAGACGAAGTATATTTAGTATCACACTGCCCAGCTGATAAAACCTCAAACATGTAGCAATTTTTCTACCCCCCAGGACTCAATCCTACATGAAACTCAGCACTCTGGCTCCACTCCACTTAAGCACATGAGCAGTTCCACTGTCTTCAGTAAGCTAAGAGACTTTACTGCTGACCTTCTGGATGTGATGTTTATAAAAGTGAGAGAACGATCTAATGAGATTCCTACAACACAAGTGGCTACCTTAAGTTTAGCCAGCATGACATAGAGCGCCAACTTCAAAGTGCTCAAAACCACTGCACTTGCAATGGTATATGACCCCTCAGAATATTGTGCTCCTGAATGGTCCAGAAGTTGTCATACTAAAAAGCTTGACACTGTGCTTAACAGTGTGCTGAGACTCATAACTGGCTGCACAACTCAGGACAGGGGGTCGGACTTGAAGATCTACTTGGGTCCCTTCCGACCCTACATCTATGAATCTATGAACTTATACATACCCAGATGTACTTCCTATACTCTCAGGTATTAGACCAAGTGACATAAGAAGACAGATCCCAACATCATTACTGATAACAGAGGCAAGAGATGATGAAAACCACCTGCTCCATCAACTGTTCGCTACAGACCCGAACAGATGGACGCTTAAGAGGCTAAAAGGTTGTAAACTGTTTGTACATGGAACCCACAAGCTCCTGAAAGAGATTGGGGATGCTGAACGAAATCTATGGGGAGTAACAAGTGGGCTGACCACTGGGAAAGGTCAGACCTGTTCCTACAGCTTTTTATACCAACACTAAACGAGTCCTCCATTGGGCATAACCTTGACAGAGAAGCATGGGCCAAGCTGAACAGACTGAGATCTGGATATGGATGCTTAAAAACAACACTTTACAAGATGAACATCTTGGACAGCCCCCTGTGTGACTGCGGTGCTCAATAAACAGCACAGCACTTAATTGAAAGTTGTGATCTCTACAAATGCCCAGACAGGGCAGAAGGAATCCAGGCACTGAGCGATAATACCAGTCAGTGGCTCACAGATGTGGAAGGTGATATCTGGTGCCATACTAAAGAGAAAGAGAGTGGGTCAAGCATGCCTTGGACTACTTTACACCTTACAGGAATGAGTTTCTACATAAGAATTTCACTAAAGAAGTCCTTTTGAGCTAGGGACAGACATTCAAAAAGCCTGAGCCTGAATTGATTCAATCTTTGCAGGTTAGTCTCACCTGGCTAAGCTAAATCACTCTGTAACTGGACAGACATCCTATACATACAGGTACATGCCTGCAGGGGCTCAGGCTAGAAGCGGGGGGGCACTAGAGCAACCATCCCTTCCCTTCCACAATACTGAGCTGAGGGGGGATGTGGTCAGGCCCTGGCAGGACGCTCTGATTAGCCCAGCAGGGAATTGATAACAGTGCTTATCACCCCTAACTCAGTGTTTATCACCCCATTAAGAAAACAACAAAGGGACATTACCAGCTACATGTTGATTCTGCCTGTTGATTCTACCTTTTGACTCAGCATAGACCGTAGCCAGCATGTGGTCTGCTAGCTAATACACAGACACCTCTCATCAAGGCAGAGGGGAAGGAGGAATTCTTGCTTAGCAGGGAGTGGTGAGGTGGAAGGGGGAAGCAGCTCAGTCTGTGCCAGAGCTGCAGCCAGGGAACAAAAAGGAGAGGCCAGCCCTGCTGTAGAGCAGAGAGCCCCATCCAGCCCAGAGAGCATGCCAGGATGCTGGGGGAGTCTGGTTTATCTTAAACCAGCAAGGGGTATGGGACAGACATAGCATAAACCAATTTGACCCAAATCAGTTAAGTTTGATACTACATTCAACCAGGTATATCTCAAACCAGTTTCAGCCATTTTCAAACTGCTTTATGTGCACTGAACATCTGTTCTGTTACAAATTTAAACCAGTTTCTGATCACTTAAATTGGTTTATATGTAATGTCTGTCCCTAGCCTTGGTGACAAGGGCCAGCTTTAAAACTGGCCTTTGTAAATTTATGCCAGGGGTGTCAAGCTCAACTTGTGCCCTGGACAGGATCTGGACTGTGGGACTCCTTGTGAACCAAATCCAGCCCAAGGTATGAGGAAGCAGCAGCAGCTGCAGCTCTAGCTCCAACAGGGAGCATAAAGAGCAGCGCTGACAGCTGCAGCTGTAACCTGAGACACACATTGACACCTCCAACCCCCACCACATGCCCTGTGCTGAAGTCAGAGCTCCTGCTACCGTGTGCCCCATGCTGCAGCAATTACTTCAGCTCTGACTCTAACATGGGCAGCAATGGAGCCAGTGGCCAGGGAGGTAGGGCTGAGGTAGTGGCAACAGGTCAGTGGTTCCCAACCTTTCAGTGGCTCCCAACCCTTTTTTGCTGTGACCCTAAATCCAGGTCACAACCCCTGCCCCCATCTCACTCATGCCCAGCAGCACCAGCAGACCCCAGGCCAAGCTGAGATCGCAGGGGACAGAGGCAGTGAGAACTGCGCGGACCATGTGCCAGGAGAGCCCCGCAGGTGGGAGGGCTGGAGTGAGGGCGGACCCCCTGTGACCCTGATTTGGGTTGCAACCCGAGGTTGGGAGCCACTGCAATAGGCAAAGTGACCAGAAGGCAACCAGGGCTGTGTCAGCCCCCACCCAACCATCTGCTGCCAATCATTATGTCCACTAGTGTCTGAAGGCCCTGGATTGTTTGGCAGGCCATTCCCCTGGCCACGTCCTCAAGTTCCAGTGGCCCACCAGTAGTCTGATAGGCTGAACAGAGTGGCTCTGGATCCAGGCCATATGTTTAACACCCCTGGTTTATGCCAATGGAAAAAATGACAAAACTATAATCATTCAAATTTGATACCAGACAATTAAATCTTATTTTAAATCTCTCTCTTTTAAAGTGCTCCCATTTAACTGCCATAATGCACACATCCATCTCACCTACGCAGTCAAAGAGCTGATGCTTCAACTCCCAAAATAAAAAGACCTGAAAAAATCTTGAAGACAGGGGTCTGAATCTGATAAACATACATGCCCCCCCCCCCCCCCCCCCCCCCCGGAATATTAAACTTCTAGGGCCAAATTTTCAAACAGGCACTGAAAGAAAGTGGCCAGGTTTTCAAAAGTGCCCAGGCACAAGCCACTCCCATAATTCTCAATGTTCTCAGATGTCTAAAATGGATTGGTTGGGATGGGTTGCTGAACTGTTCTGAAAAACAGGCTCTGCTGTAAACAGTGACTGTACGTTGACTGATTTCCAAAATTAACCCTCTACAAAATCATAAACTAGTTCATGATTCAGCTGTTAAAAACTCTTCTTATTCTTTTGATCTATAACAATCCTCTTCAGGTTCGATCGCTTCTTTTCATGGGACCACTGCATCACTACAGCTATTTGTAGACATGCTCAGCATTTTCTAAACTATGTTAACTGATTTGTGTTGAACAGTTCAAACCAAGTTTCAGTTCAAATGAACGAGTAATAGATGATCATTGACCATCATGGCAGGGGGCACTGGATAGACACAGCCTATACACTTGACAGCCCCTTAACAGAGGTTGGAAGTAATTACGAGGTGATAATAAACCTGTGTAAACACTGCTACATTCTTGCAGTTATCCTCAGGAAACACTAATCTAAAGTTCTGTTCCAGAACCTGTAATTAACTTGATACTTAGCAGGGTGAGGTGTTGTTGGCACATTTGCCTTTGTAAAGATGTTACTTTGTACCTGATAGCCTCTATCTATTGTTTTGCAAAAACCCAACTTGAGTTTCCCTGGGGGAGAGGGGAGGATTGATATTTGCAATGCTTATCTGCTTATCTGAGTTCCTAAGGACTGTTTTTCCTAAAAGCAATGTTGTATATACATGTTAATTAATACAGTTTAAATTGCCTAATTCAGACTGCCTTAGTCTGTGTTAACTTTAATCCAAATTCAGTGAGGATCAGTTAATCCGGACTGGAGCCAGTTTTAATTTGGACTACAGACACCCACATGTACCTAGTTACAACTGTAGTCTGGATTAAACCTAGAAAAATGTAACATTTATAAACAGCCTATGTGTCCATTCTGATCCCCAAACTGCAGAAGTACAAGGAAGGAGAGACAAGTGGGGGCGCACACATTCCTAGAAGAGTTTCACTCACTCTTCTAGGAATGAGTGTGCCCCCACTTGTCTCTCCTGCTTCTTATGCAGAGCATTTCTAGTAATCATTCTACCAATTATTCCTCTCCCCTTTGATGCATAACTGATTAGGGGCAGCAGAGCTAGAAACTGGGGTACAAAAGGGCCAGAAGTCAGGTGCCTGTGGAATTTCTGTTTTTTTGGCTTTCAGCCTGGGTGAGTTCTGAACACAATGTATGGCATGGCATTCCAGGGAAAAGTCCAACTACAGGCCTTGATACTGGATTTCCACAAGGGGATACTAATCAAGGCGTTTTGAATGTGGATTGGTCAGCAGATCTGGGATAGAGGCCATCCTAGGCTCAGAACTAACTAGCAGCATATATACTCTTAGCAATTAAAGAGAAGTGTTTCCCTTCCAAGGCAATATTATGGATTGCTAACTTCTTTAATAAGGTTGTGATAATACACTAAAATTGCAAGCCAAAACAAACATTCTCCAAACCTAAATTGATCTTTCCTTGAGCTTTAGTTTCAATCCCTTCAGTTCCCTACGGACATTTTTTTCTATTGGAGACAACAGAAGAAAAAGAGCACAAGGTTTGAACAGGAAGACATACCTGAGTGAGTGATCCAGCGTCATACCCGTGAAATCAAAAAACTTGAGATATTCTTCTGCCACAAGTTTGCTGAACTCATTGCTATAAAAAGGGAAGGAAAACTGTTATTAAAATGTAAACTTTTGGCTGCTTTTATTATTGTAAAGAATCAACCACGTGAATGACATTTAACAAGAAGCCAAAGTAAAACACCTACTTTTTACCCAAGTGCTTTGCCACGTCAGAGCGCTTGAATCGGTCCAGCTGGTAGAGACGCTTAGCTAGTCTTCTGGCTGCTTCCAAATTGCTGTTGGTGCCATTGCTAAGATCTGTGCTTAAGTTTTCAGTGGCTTCTTTCTCCAGAAACTCATTGCTACCCATGGCAGACCTGGAGTCTATGAGCTTGTTCTTCAGTCCAGCATTGCTATGAGATAGAAAGAATGTGAAAGGGGAAAATAAAGTCTTTAATCACCTCCTAGCCAGTCAGAAAGTAAAGTCTTCTTGAAAGTGCTAATGCTATGGTGCTAAGATTACATGATTCAATGAAACCCACTTAACTAAATAACTGTTTGCAGTGGACTCATTTAGTTTGTAAATACCACAAGCCAAGATTCCCAAACACAAAGCTTCAAAGCTGGGTTCTTAAGCCTATATTTAGACATCTAAATCTATGGTTTACCCTTCAACAGTCCTGAGAACTCCCAGTGTCTTCAGTGGGAATTATTAGGTACCTGCCACTGCTGGAAATCAGGCCTAACAGAGCAATCCTAATGATGGAGTCCCCTGCTGTTTGTATTGATTTCTTGTTGCCCTTCTAACCATGCAGTGCAGGTGCCTGACAAGCTGCGCTTGAACCAGCAGATCACATACAATTGTCAAAAGGAGCTACCTACCTGGAAATAGCTGGGATCGGTCAGTTATTAATACACCCACAAGGGCAAAGTGAACATTACTATGACTTACAGCTCTCACCTGGTTCCCCAGGTCACCTGCTCCATAGTCTCCCGCCCTGTCCCAAGAAGCCTCCCTCCCCAACTCGACTTCTGCTCTCAGACACGGACTGGCTTCCCCTGTGGAGCTGTCGTGAGCCTCAGTAGAGTCCATACCTATTGATGATCCACAGCTCCTCTGAGCTACTGTGGATTTTAGAAGATGCCAAGTAAGGTGCAGGATACAGGATGAGAAATCTGATGGTTTAGGGGAAGCTGCATTACAGTAGCGCTACCAAGGTTTAGTACTCTGACTGTCACCTTAGCTCTCAGCATTTTCCACTACTTCAAGGGCCAGAGAAGCAGTAAAACAGAGCACTCAGACTCCCCACCAATCAGCTGTGGGCCAGAGAGGCTGAGCCCTGTAGCTCTCCATCTCCGCAGCTTGTAGAGCAAGGAATGGGACTGACTGAGAGGTTTTGCTCAGTTCCTCTTGAGCTCCTAGAGCAAGTGCGCTGAGGGGAGACTCCCTGTATTCCGACAGAGGGGCTAGAAGGCTTCTGCCAATGTCCCTCCCTGCTGGTAGACATTGTCCGATGCCAGGCAGCTCTGTTTCAGTTCTCTCAGAGCTGACTTTCTCAAAGATCCCTCCCAGAATAACATTTCACATTATTCCCCCTGCCAGGATAAATCAATCTGTCACACCCACAATCACACGCACATGCAAGGGTATGCGTGCACTTTTTTCTTTTTTTTTTCTTCTTTTTTTTGCATGGATTAAAACCATTTTCCAGCCAGTGCTAGTCTCAATACCTCCACACAGCAGCCAAACATGCAATGGCAGAAATTTTTCAAACACCAGTGCACCCATGTTCAGATTCTGTTATAGACTCCTGCCTTCAGTCTCCCATGATCTCTCATTAAAATCAACCAACCGCCGACAACACAAAAAGTTTAGGAAATTCTCCCACAAAAAAACCCTTGATGTTAAGCTTCTGTTAACAGAGGGTTGACACCATGTCATAGCAGCTGTTACAAACATGTTCCAGACGTGGGCAGCATGTGTTACAGAGGATTTCTAAGCACCAAAAGAGAATGCATTACAGCTTCATAAGCCATTATAAGCCTTTAGGCATTATAAGCTGTGTTGATAAACAACCAAATGACCTGTTGTTCTATCAATGGGTTAGTAATTTATTAAAGCATCTTGTAATTGTTTATTAGCTCTTTAGAAATGGGACCATCATATTAAGCGTGACCCCAAAAAATCTTTGCCAACTTGCTAAACTAGGAAAGACCTGCCATGACAGCATACACACCTGAGAACTACACCTTTCTTCCCACCAACTAGCAAACACACACTGAAACAAAAAGATGCCATACAGCATCATCAGAGCATTTTATATCAAGTCTCTCTGCATTCATGTCCTGCTGATTTACTGACAGTTGAATCAAAAAGCCAAGCCCTCTCAAATGTATACGTTTATGGTTGGAGTTCAGAGTTGCCATCTTAGGCTAAGCTTTTTCAAAGCATCTATGGGAACTGGACATCCATGTGGGATTTGTTTTATTTTAATTTAAATAATAAAAAAGACACCATAAAAAGCTCTCAGAGCCCTACCTATTACGTGATTAATATATGCCTTCTAATGCCAGCATTATTCAAATTCCACCAGATGGCTACCTGTAATACACAAAAGCTCCCTTCTTCTCCTTTGCGGCAGTAAGCAGTACATCCCTAGCCTTTTCCTAGCAGATGTCTGCAGCGTGCAAGGAAGAACACAAATTGCAGACACTGTGCAAAGAGCAAGTTGCAAAGTCCTGCAACCCTCACAAAACACACTCTGCCAGCAACCCCTTTTCCTTTCATACAAAGCACACACAGTACTCTGTCAGTATCTGACTCCCATAGACAAGTTCAAATACCACAGCCCAAATGTGTAACAAGAGCAAAGGATAAACTGCTATGCTGCGAATCATTACTATCCATGTGGCAACGTTTGTCAAACCTTCCACATCCAGGCACTGATTCCAATGCCATGTCAAACTCTGCATGACCACCAATAAATCACAGCCCTCCTTCCCCACTACTCTTTATAATGGCCAATATTTATCACCCTGTAAGGTGGCCAACCCTGACAGATGACATTTGCATTGTACCTGGAGTCGTTATCCATGAAAATGAATGCAACCTCCAACCCCCAGTGCCTAGTGCCAGCAACCACCATGCAGTGAGATAGATGTTACAGCAACCATAAGATTCCAGCCAGTGTGCTGGCACAGTATTTGAGCAGTAAAGGGGGAGTGAACAAAGGGAAAGAAGAGAGCTGGCTCCTTTCTCTCACCTTTGGATTAGAGCAAATGGGGGCAAAATACGGCCCTTGGGCCAGACTCAGCCTTCCAACTGATTGTATCCAGCCCACGGCTGCCCCTGCAACGCTCCACATGGGGCTGAGCCCTGCCTGCTTCCACCCTGGGGCAGCCTGCACAGCTTCCCAGCAGGGTTGTTCCTGGTGCTGCTACAGCTGTCCGGGTACTACTTGGATCCCCCCGCTTCTGGCTAAGAGCTCACCACACACTCCAGTGAGAGCATGGAGACAAAGAGAGGGGCAAGGAACTCAGCCCAGCTGCCCCAGGCAAATCTGTCAAGGTGAAAGAGAGACCATCGGCCACCTCCTATGGCTCTGTCCCTACACCAAGGATGTGTGGAAAAAGGTAAACTGGCTCCACGAAGAGGTGACAGGAGTCAGGCTGATGACGATGAAGGTGGCACTGTGCAGACATCTGGCTAAACATCAGGGATCCCCGACAACCCACATCAACCAGTTTGTGTCCTGCATCAAGAGCACCCTGCGGAAATGCAGGAACCTGCTTATGTACAGACACATGAAGCTCAAGGAAGCAGACTGTGTTAAAATGTTTCTGAGTGAACTCCAGTCCTACTACCAGAAATTGGTGGCAGAGAACAGAGAAGATGAAGCCAACTCCACCTGGCAAAGGGGCACTTGGCAAAGCCTGTTCAAAGACTCTCCGGGATAACGAAAATGACAGCGACACAACTGGACCTTGAGACTGAAGACGACAGCAGCAGTGTCAGCAACAGGGACAGCAAAAAGGACAGTGACTATGCAGAGAATGGAAACCCCAAATGTCAGGGAAAGAACCAAGAGACTGTGTAAGGGAAAGGACTGTGGATTGGTGAGCAGAAGCACGAATGTCGAGGTGCGTCTTTTGTAATGGGTGCACATGCAGGTTTTTAATGCGTTTTAAAGCGTGTGAAGAAGAGCTTATGTGGGATCCTGTGTGTGTATATAACTAAACCTTTATCTATATCTATCTTTCTTTTGTGTCCCCTGCAAAAAAACCCAAAACAAAACAAAACAAAACAAAAAACACCTGGTGACAGCTGCCAGGCAATGTGGAAGTGAATCTTTCACAAGGGCCTGCAGAAGTAGCAGAGACCTGAACTGGCAGGCAGCCCACCATGCAGGCATGGAAAAAACACAGCAGGGAACAGGGGTCCACTGAACTGCCCAAGACAGACCTGCCACTGGCAGGCAGAAATGCTAGACCACCTCTTCTGGGACTGCCCAGATGCCAGATAGGTGTGGAAGAAAGTACGCACACTCCTCCTGGTGGTGACAGGTTTTAGAGACCTGACCAGGGCAGCAGTTCTCTACGGACACCTGCCCAGACAGCAAGGGACTCTGACAGCCCACTTTGACCAGTGCATATCCTGCTTCAGGTATGCACTGTGGAAAGCCAGGAACCTGCTCATAAACACACTCAGACCCCACAGTTGAGGACTGTATTAAAATGGGACTAAGTAAAATGGACTGGTACTGCAGGAAGACAGAAGAGGATGACAGGAAAGAAATGGCAGACCTCATATGGTGGAGGGGGGTCCGGCATAGACTTTTTCAGGAGCAGGCCCTCTGAGGAGGGCAGTGGGTGGGGGTATGGGTATGGAGATGGGTACATGGGCGTGAGGATATGAACTGTGTAATGAGGTTTTAGCGTGCTTTGAGCTTCCAAATGAACCACAGGGGCCAATTGGCAGAGTGCTGAAGGTGGAGTTATACATATATATTTATTTATATATAGAAGTAAATATTTTTGCAAAAAAAATAAATAAAAATGCAACATCACACCCAGCTTAACCAGCATAGCATCTTGCTCAGTAAAGGCTGCAAGACTGAACCAGCTTCCTCCCCCTGCATTGATGAGAAAACACTACTGCAGCTAAATATGTACTAGGACTTTGTGTGTAGTAGCTCATTATATTGGGAAGGAATCTTTTTCTGTCATTTAGTTTTATAGCTTGCTTGTGGTATTGTTATTAGAGCCTTTCTGGTATTAATCAACTGGTGTTGTGTCAATTCTTAAAGGCACTAGGTTTAAAAACCTACTTTTTGAGTGCGACATAAATCACTCAGGTGAACTGGTATAGGGGAGGGATCACCCCTAATGGAATGGAGGAGACTGGGGTTCTATT